CCCTTCCCCCACAGCTACCCTTTCCTGTTCCACTACCTTGACCTCTTCACAACATCAGTTTCCCCATTATTTAACATGAGTAACACGGAAAAATTAAGGAAAGCAAAAAGAATAACTTCTATCCTTTCTCTTATGAATGTTTCAATTCTTGCCATCCTTTGCAGAATAGTCCGAAAAGAAACACCAGACAAGACTCAGTCTGAATGACCCTCCTGATCTTCTCTCCCTCCCTCTGCCCCTAAAACACCATGGCAACTGCCACCTGAAAGAGACCAGGCGGAAATCATCTAATAAGACCAAGGATTGCTTGCCAATGCTTTCTTATTTAATAAAGTTTTGAAAGGGCACTTTGCCCTTACTCTTTATTGCTCTACTCCCTTAATGCTAGCAAGACAAAGAATGTGTGGTAGTACATGTAATTATAAGAGCCATAATTTGTCGTAGATGTTTATTTGTAAGTCTTCAGCTTTTCATTGGAAGTTGAAAGTTTTAAGTCATCCTCCAGGTCTGCAGCCAGAAAGTGAGGCGTATAACAGAGGCAGAAAGCAGTGGGATGGCAATAAATGGTTACATTGTGGTGCAAAAAAGCACAGGCTGTCCAACTGGGCATTGCTCGGGCAAATTTGAATCTGCCACTTATCAGCTGTAAGACCTTGAACAAGAAAGCTACCGTGCCTTTCTATGCCTCAATTTCTCCATCTATAAAATGGGGTGTTCTGCTTGTCTAAGATGGGGATTATATAATGCTTCCCTTGCAGTTATTTTAAGGATTAAATGAGACCATGTAATCAAAGGGTGTGGCACGTAGAATGCACCCAAGCTATGATTAGCTGTGATTATGGTTATCAATAAAAAGGTTACATATGTTTCTAGATTCCTAGCTTAGTTCTCTTACAATTGAAATCAAATTCCTCATGGGAGTCTAACTTTTAGGAAGGTAGAGGAAATGTTTTCACAGTGCCTGCTTTTCTACAAACTAGAAAACGAGGAATGCTAAGAGCAGAGTATTGTCCTGAGAGAAGCCTTGAATGAAATACCAAAAACTTGCCTGGACACCCACATGACTATCATTGTATTTTTAGGGCAAAAGCCACTATGAGTTTAACACTTTCCAATGACTTAAAAGTATATGAATTTCCAAGGGGGTTGGGGGTGGGAAGGGACAGACTGGGATTTCAAAATTTCTGGATACTGACAGGCATGTGCAGAATAGATAAATAAGATTACAATGTATAGCACAGGGAAATATATACAAGATCTTGTGGTGGCTCACAGCGGGGAAAAAAATGTGACAATGAGTATATGTATGTTCGTGTATACTGAAAAATTGTGCTCTACACTGGAATTGGACACAACATTGTAAAATGACTATAACTCTATAAAAAAAAGTAAAACAAAAAGTATATGAATCTCAGTATCATCAACAAACATTTGGCCAACAGCAATATATATATTTGAGAGGCATGTTATTTATTGGGGCCACAGGCTAGGCTCCCTTCCTGTGTAGAGGGATTCCATTGCAACAACACTGCAGTCCCCTAGGAACCCAGAGCCCCTGGTTTAGACACCAACAGTCAAGCTCAGTTGTATTATACTTGACTCTGGGAAAGAATCATTTAGGAGCTTATTTGAAAATCTTGGACCTCACCCCCAGAGATTCAGATTAAGTAGATCAGGGGTGGAGGCTAGAAATGGGAGCTCTTGATAAATTCCCCCATGTGACTTCAGTGAGTCCAGGGGAGTGTACAAGGGTACAGAGCTCTGGGAATTAGCATCCCAGACTGGCCCCTCTTCTTTCTCTTCCAAGGATCTCATTCCAGTCACCTTCTCTTCGTTCCTCTCAGCTCTGGGCTGCTTTAACTGGAGTGTTGTGCTGATATCACAGAACAATGTGTAGAAAAATGTCTGAGAGTCAAACATAATATCTGGCTTTCTTTAAAAAGCAGCAACATTCAATTATACTTCAATTAAAAAAAAGGCAGCAACATACATTTCCTTCTTAAGGACGTTAATTTTGAAATGAACTGCACCTTCATATCCATTTTCACTAGTTCAGAGGCAACCTGTGCTCACAAATGAAGGATACAGATTATGCTAGAGTGGTCTGGCTTGAAAATTGGCTCCACATTGTAAATAGTACTTTAAACTATTCCTGAAGAGAAAAAAAATGTAAGGGCTAATAGCCAATAGGGAAGCAAAAATAGAAAATGTTGAACAAATTAGAAGATATCATAAGAAGGAATCACAAAGCTGGAAGAAAGAGCTCATCTTCACCACCAACTCCCCTCAACTAGAAGATTCCCCCTGGAGACTCTCAGGCTCCCAACACGGGAAGGAACTGGGGGTAGGGTGCCAGGACAAGTCCCTTTTTCCTATCCTTTATTATCTTCAATGCCCCTGAGTGCCTCTTCAGCTTCTTGGGAACGTAAATGCTTAGTTTACAAGGTCAAATGACCTTGGAACATTTTCCAAAAGTTAAATCACCATTTGAAGAAAGAAAGGTGTTGTTTTAATATTCTCTTCTGCTGCTAATTTTCCCTCTCTCTCTCTTCTCTCTCTCTCTCTCTTTTCTCTCTCTCATTTCCCCCTCTCCTTCTTTCACTTTCTAGCTCTTTCTCTCCCTCCCTTTTCTCCCTCTCCCTCCCCCTCTTTCCTTCCCCTCCCCTCTCCACTTCACCACACACAGAAACCCCTTTTCAAAGGGGCTTTTTTCCAACTCAGTGAAGTAAAGCCTTTGCCCCTTTGTGGGGACGGCTCATTAACATTCCCACAGCAGCATCTCTTCAAGGATTTTACTTTTGTAACTCTGTGGGGAGGTCAAGAGGCCACAGCGGAGAGGTAAAAGGGAAAAAATGGTAAATGGGGGAGGGCGGAAGAAAGGAGAGGAGGGGAAAGAGCCCGTCCTTTCACAATAAGGCCAGCAAGAAGGAGGGTGGACCAAAAGAGGAAAAGACCAGACAGACAAGACTCAGGAAGGAGATGAATACTGGGCCCCCAGATCTGCCCTCGGAGATCTGCAGACTCCTGAGAAAAGCAGAAAGCTATGTTCCTTCTCTCATTTCCTGTCCTCAAAAAGGAAGTTAATGATGGAAACAGTGGAATGGCAAGGTGCAAAACCCAGTCTATTTCACCGAGAAATTAGAAACTTTCCTGGCCTCAGTGTTCCCGTTTCCCCTCCCACAACCAAGTGATAACTGCATCTGTCTACCACAGGGAGGTTAACAGGATGAATCAGACAGTGACAGCAAGCATTCCAAGGGTAGACCACGAGGGAGCTACTCAAGGTCCTGACCCCAGGAGACTGGGAAAATAATGGAGATTCAGTGAACTCCAAAGCAAAGATCAGAGTGCCTCCCAAATCTCTTCAGATGGGGGTACCTGCCTCATTTTTCACCAGCAACCCTCCTACCATCTGTGGTCTCTCTCTCTCTCCCTTTCTTGGTATTGCCAAACTAGCCCAGGCTTGTATAAAGGAAAAAACAAAGGAAACTTTAAGTTGGCACCCAAAACTGTGAGTGAGCGTCACTATTCTTTGAAGACACAGCCACCAGAGATTTACATCACTAAACTCCAAAGGGGAAAATAATTCCCACTTTGCCTGCCTGATGGTGTCTCAGATGCTTCTCATCTAAGCCAGAAGAGTAAAACGGAAATACGGTTAAAAGAAGAAGACCAAGGCATTAGAGCTAGAAGATAGGGTATATCTGGGTGTAACATGCCCAGTAGTACAGTGTTACTCAAATTCAGGTAGGAACAGCAAGACCAGAGGTTAAGGGACAATAAACGAATCACCCTTAAGTATGCAGGCTGAGGCAAGAGAGCCCTGGTTGGTTGCCAAAGGATGTATTCTGGAGATGAAGGAATTCTTAAAGGTCAAACTTTATATCCACAGGAAAACTCTTTCCACAGAACCCTTGACAATTGTTTTCAGCATCTGTGAGAACATATTACAGAGAGCTCACAAATTTACTGGAGACTCCGTTACATTTTGGAAAGTTTGGGGAGAGTATAGGTCAGTGGTAGAACACATGCTTAGCACGCACAAGGTCCTGGGTTCAATCCCCAGTACCTCCATTAAATAAACAAACAAACAAACCTAACACCCCCACCCCCACCCCATAAAACTGAGCTGAAAGTTCCTCCGTGTAGCTCCCACTCTGCAGTACCAGGGAGCTCATCTCTATCATCTTCTCAAAGGTGGCCTCCCTTCAACCCTGGGAGCTGGACAGGAGTGGGAGAGACAGAAAAGCCACTAATCCTGTGGCTGTTTTAAATGAGATTCGATTCATTAAGATCAATCACTTTTTTTTTTTCATGCTAGGAGTCTGGTGGCATGTTATACCTTTAACAATATAGAGAGGAGAGAAAATGCCAGACTACCGTCAGGCAGACATGGCTACCCGGCCTGTCTCTGTTACATCATAGCTGTGCAACCTTAGATAGGTTACTTAACCTCACTGAGTCTTTTGGTTCATCTATAAAGAGGATCATCTATAAATAGGAGTAGTAAAACCTGTTGTGCTAATCTCAAGAGATGTAATACTCAAAATACGTCATGTACATGAAAATACTCCATGAATTATAAAAAGATAGACGTAAGTGATTATTATAATGACCGTCCATTTTTACTCAGTCTTTTTGCCGGGCTTTCACGTCCTCATTTTTGACGACAGGTAGCTGACTTCTTGGCCTTATAATAAGTATATACCAGAAAGTTCTCATTTCAGCTTGCACCTCTGAAACAGTCACATCATCAAACAAGGTGGCATAGAATCACGAAATAACCAAAAAGCACTGTGAAGATCTTGGAGGAAGGAAGAGTTAGAGGAACAACCGAGGGACATTTTCTAAACAGACAGCACGGGGAGAGGCCCGGAGCCCTGGCAGGGAGGAGAGGGTTAAATCCTTTCCTCTGCAGTACAAAAGAAAAGAGTGTGCGGAAAGATTAGGATTTTTGCTTTTACAATGGGAGCTGCAGAAGCGTAGGGAAGAAGCTGAAGAAAAAAAAGGGGGCGTCTCCCCTTTAAAGACTTGCAGAGATTGAGAGAGAAAAAGAGAGAGAGTCAGGGACAGGGAATCAGAGCGCGCGCGTCCGTCTGTCTGTCCCTGGGAAGGGAGACCGTCTCTGCTTCACAGTGATTGGCACTGGGGGAGAGGCATCAGTTGGCTTCAGACCCAAGGGGGAGACCAGACCAGGTCACCCCGGTTAAGATTAAGTGAGCGTTGCCCCTCCCCGTCCCACCTCTCTCTACCCGGGAATGTCTCGGCGAAAGCAGCGGAAACCCCAACAGTTAATCTCGGACTGCGAAGGTCCCAGCGCGTCTGAGAACGGTGGGTGCCTGGGGAGGGGTGGGGGAGCCCTGAGTCCAAGCCTGTGTGGGTCAGGCCAGGGCAAGGGGAGGGCACTCGGGCCATGGGCGAAGCCAGGGGGAGGACTTGGTCACTCGGGGGGGTGGAAGGAGTTGAGATCCAGGGAGTATGGAGGTGACCTGGGCTGGGGAGAAGCCCCGCTTGGCTTTTCTCAGGGTTGATTCTGTTTGTGTTTTCCGTGTTGTTTTTCTCTGGATGAAATGGAGTTTTCAAACTGGCTCTGTCTCCCCACCCAAGAGTTTTCTCCCCAGGTCCCCCTTTGCTCACTGGTCTTTGTGCCGTTGCTAAGTAACCTCCTCAGACCTGAAGACCTTCTCTCAGGGGTGGGATTTTTTCCCCCCTTTTCTTTCTGGAGAGTTGGGTTGCAAGAGAATGAATTGGATAAACATGAAGGTTCCCCTGAGGGAGAAGAGAAAAAAGTTTCTCATTGTTGGGCTGAGCAGAGAACGGATCAGAGCTCCCAGAGGGAGAGAGCTAATGTCGGTCAGATGCAGCCTGTTTGGGGTGTGTATCTGTGTCACCTGGGTAGAGGCTGGAGGAAAGGTCTGGATGAGGGGCTTAGGTTTGTGCTTCAAGGGAGGCCAAGCTTAAAAAAGAAAAAAAAAAGTATGAGTTAACATGCCTGTTAATACATGCATATCCTATTATGAAGATTTTATCATCTGTTTTTTAAGTAATAGATTTTCTTTATGAGGGGGAAATTTTCATGTATTCTTACAACATTCCAGTAAATAAGCGGTAGCCAACAGAGCATCTGGGGTATTGAGAAGTGACATTGCCCAAAGTTTCAGACACAGGCATAGTCAGGACAAAAACCTAGGCTTTGTGACACTCAGGGCTGGTGCTTCTCACTCCACCTAAATTAGGGTCCCCCAAACTTGCTTGATTGTGGGTAGATCTGGGCTAGAGGCTGGGAATCTCTATCTTTGCAAATGTTCAGGTCATTTTTAGGATCAAGCAAGTTTTGGACAATCTGGTATGGCTACGTATGTTCACACTGTGAAAGTTTGAAAGCTCTGGCCCAGGGATAAACCATTTATTTAGCAAACAGTTGATTTATCCGACAATGTAGTGTAGTATTAAGCACAAGGGTTCTGAAGCCAGACTTTTCAAGATTCAAATCCTGGCTCTACCACTTGGTTAGCTATGCAACCTTGGTTGGTTTACTTTGCCTTTCTGCCTCAGTTTCCTCATCTGTAAAGTAGGGATGAATTACTCGCTACCTCATTAAATGATGGTAAGAATAGAAATGAGTTAATACACGTCAATACACTTGGAAAAATAACTAGCATAAACATGTGCTTCATACTTGTGGTACAGTCCTTAGCATCAATAAGTACTTAATATGTGGGTACTAGTCTTATAGGTTTATAAAGCTCAGGAGCCTCTTGGCGAACTTCAGCATTTCTTTATGGTAGGATAATATGGGTATTAGTCTTATACGTGAGTATGGTGGCAACTCCTACAAGTGCTGAAATATGACCAAAGCTCAGGAGCCTCTTGGCGAACTTCAGCATTTCTTTATGGTAGGATAATGTATTTGTATTGACTAAAACTAAATCATAGATTAAATTTACCTTTGCACCTGTTATAAAAAAAAAAGACTTGAGATCAAATCAGTGCACCGTGTGCTATGAAACAACCTTAACAGACATATAGTGTTTTGGGTAAAAAACATCCCCCCTCAAGTTAGTGCTTTACTGGGATTCCCACTGTGCCAATATTTAGAGGTTCGTGCTGGTGGCATCCTTCTCTCCTGGGACACATTAACCCTCCTTAATGCTGCTGCAGGCCGGATGTTTCCTCCTTCTGCTCTACAGGAGACTTCCCCCAGAGCCTCAGAGATGCCTTACAGTCCTGCTCCCCTGCTGGTTAGATTGTGGAACAATGCTGAATCCCTTCCACCCCAGAGGCCTCTCCTTTCCAATCCTCTCCCCTCATCTCCCTGTACCTTCAGCTCACCCAGTCCCCGTACCACTGCTGAGAAAAATCTGGGAGGGAGTCATAAGAAATCTTTCACAACTGCCCTGAGTGGATTCTCAAGCCCCTTGAACTGTAGCTCTCGCTTGGGGCTGTGAACATTCAGGGGCACAGGGATGCTGCTACAAAGCCATCCCCATAGAAACTGTGCAGGCTGGAACCCAATGGCAGCAACAAATTTCAGTTGAAATGTTGCCTTTGAACAGTAAAAGTCAGAAACACACATGTAAGGAGCAAGAAAGCAATAGTAACCTTAAGAAAGATCTGCCTTAAGAAAGCCTCAGGATTTTCTGTTCAGAATTTTCCTGAGAGTGAAATATCCTGGGCTACTTGCATGACCTGGACTGTCTGTCATTGGGTCTCATTTGTAAGATGAGGTAGCTAATATTTGATCAAATCTAAAATTCCTTTCTGCTCTTAGAAGATATATAAATAGGGTTTCTATTTGCATATGTGATCTTCAGGCTCCTGAGTTTTCCTTCTACCCAGAGACATTTTCTTGTTCTGCATGCCCCAGAATTAGGTAGGGAGGGCTCTTATTTGGGGGCTCTTATGTGTGTCCTTTTACTGGTGTACCCATGAAACCATGGGTACCATCATGAATATCCGCAGACATTTATTTAGTAGGCGAGGGTGCCACTAAGGTTTCCAGGACTCTTTGCCTCCTTTTAGGCAATGTTTACCATATGTGACAAGCAAATGCTGAGGCTTTGTTGCACATTTTAAAAGCCTCATCTCTGCAGTGACCTAAGACATTACCAAGACACAGTCTGAAAAACCTGTTTTCCAGCCCTGTTTCTGCTCAGCTTCCCTAACCAGTACACCAAAACCTAACGGAATAGTTATTGCACATAAGTGATGAGAAGGAAATAGTCTATTTACTTAAAAACTCTGGAGAGAAAAAAAAATGTTCTCTCTCCCCTACAGAGTCTAGAAATCTGGATTCGAGACCATAAGGGATGTGAATAGGGAAGATGTAAACTAGTACATCTGGGAAATAAAAGAAATGATCAGAAACCCAGATATTTAGTGAGAAGGAGAAACCAGGACAACAGCCAAAAAGATCTAGAGGGAGAAATGGAGGTTGCCAGACAGCAAGAGCAGCAAAAGGGGAAGGAAGGCAAAAATATAGAGTTTTGAGGGTTCTGTTCTCTTTATAGCTGGAAGTAAAAAGCATTGTCTCTCAGGGTGTTCAGTCCTGAGCCTTTCAGCCCTAAGGACCCCTGGGTCAAAAAGAAAACATTCCTGAGTAGATAGAAAGTAACTCAGAGTGCAAGAGCACCCTGGATAAGGAAGCAGAAATCCTGGTTTTTTAATCCAGCTTGGATTTGGAAGCTTTGTGACCTTGGGCAAGTCCATTCTTCTCCCAGGGCTTCAACGTTTAGCCTTTGAATAACAGCAGTCATCATTAATATCCGCAGAGCATTTACTATTTGTCAGGTCCCATGCCAGGCCCTGTATGTATTCCCTCTTGTTCATTCCTCCCAACTCTGCTATTACTACTTTCATTAATTTTTTTTTTTTTTTAGAATTTACGGGAAAATATACATGACAAAATATACCATTTTAAGGCATACAATTCAGTGGCGTTAAGTATACTCACAACATTGTGCAACTATCACCACAATCCATCTCCAGAACTCTTTCACCTTGCAAAACTTGAAACTCCATACCCATTAAACAGTAACTCCACAGCGCCTTCATCCCACACTGCCAGCTACTGGCAATCACCATTCTACTTTCTATCTCTATGAGTTTATCAATTCTAGGTATCTCGTATAATGAAATCATGTAACAGTTATGCTTTTGGGACTGGCTCATTTCACCTTAGCACAATGTTTTCAAGGCTCATCCACGTTGTAGCATGTACAAGAATTTCATTCCTTTTCTATGACTATCCCTCCATTTTTAAAAGAAATCCAAGCCTTAGAGAAATTAAGAAACTTTCCCAAGGTCACGAAGATTAGAAAGTGCTGGAACTTGGACTCAGGTCTGTTTGATTCAGAGCTGGCACTTTTAATCACTGTACTTGGTGAGAGGGTCAGATCTGCAAGATGGTGTAAAGTCCATGTTAAGTGCTGAGTCCTTTGATGTCAGAAAATGACTATTGAAAAAAACAAACCTTTTTGTGTTTGATCTAAGATATTCCTATTCTAGAAATAAATATATTTTTCTCACTTAGCACCAGATGTACACATCTTTGTGCCTGTTTGTCCACTGTGTTGCACAGGCCACGGGTGCACTCACTAGGCGTGGGTGGCAGAGGAGTATGAGTATGTATTTAGGAGAGAGGAGTGAGGAAGAGAAGATGAAACATTCTCCCTTAGAAGTATCCACAGCAGCAGTTATAGACAACTCAGTTATGAACACTACCAATTGGTGCTGGTTCAACATTAACAGTAAATTTAGGCAGGGCCTTACATACTGTGCTTTGTTTCTTTAGTGGCTGCATGATGGTTGAACTCTGTGTAGAACAAAACCTTTCATTTTACAATTAGAAATATGGCTAAAGATGCACATACCCTGGGAATGGCAATACAGTCACTTAAGTTCACAGTCAGGTGCAAATCATATCAAATTCTGTTCATGAAAGCAGGATGCAAGAGAGCCAAAGTGTGGCTCTGGGCAGAGTAGAGAGGGAACCCGATGGGAAGACTAAGCTTCAAGCAACTCATTTGCCTACTTCCTAATTTTGGCCAAGTTGAGCACAGATACGATTTGTGAGAAGGTTTGATGGGGAGGGCACGCCTCTGATATGTACTGCGGGGCTCATCCTTGGCTGTACGTTGGAATCACTTGAGGAGCTTTACAAACACTGATGCTTAAATCCCACCCTCAGGGAATCTGAATTAATTGATCTGGGTTACAACCTGGCCCTTGGGATTTTTAAAAGCTCTCCCAGTAATTCTAATGGGCAGCAAAGTTTGAGAACCTCTGTTCAACCCTACCACCCTGCTACTCACCTATTTTTCTTTTTGTTCTCCCAGCCATTCTCTCCCAAGTCTGATGCGCCACCAGGTTTAGAGAGCCACCTGGTTTCCTTTTTTCCTTGTCATTTCAGCTCTTTATAAATCTAAACAAGCATGTCCAGGTCTCAGTCCTGCGTCCATCCCAGACTTTGCATGTGACCCAGGATAGCTTACGTCCCCTTATCTGCTATCTAGGGACACCATTACCAGCTTAGTTTATTCCTGTGTTTATGACTTCATTCATGTCTGCCTAAGAATCCTGCCCCCTTTTCAGGATAGGCATTGAGTGCAAAGTGCTGAGAAATAGAGGGTTCCTCTTACAGGTGGCTGTTGATCCGTCACCTTTCACCAGGGACTAAATTTACCTTAAAGAAGAGCATGGATCAAATTACGCATCAGAAAGCAACCTTCATTAAAGAGCAAGAAAGGGGACAGTGTTTCCCAGGAGAAGATGAAAAGAAAAGGGTTTTTTTTCTTGTCGGAAGACTTGACAAAACAGCAACTTGATATCAAATGTTCAATGCTAATTAACAAATGCTCAGTAGAAAGCTTCCATCTGATTCCCTCTCCCTTACTGAGGCCAGAGAGCAAATGGCAGATAGGAGCCACACAGGGCCCTTTCTCTAGCTTAGGGAAGCCACACCATGTTGATGTGCTTGAGAAAGCACTGGATACAGGAGTCAAAATTCTGAATGCTGGCTTCACTGAACTACTGTGTGGACCTGGAAACGTCATTTAACCTCTCCAAGCTTCAATTTCCTCATGTGTGAAAATAAACAACATTGCATTAACCTGTGACTTGCCATAATTGAAGCAGAAACCGCCTCCCTCATTGCAAGGGTCAGGCCTGGAAGCATCTACTTCATCTGTTTCAGAGACATCATTCACAATGTTAGGGGGGAGGGTATAGCTCAACCGGTAGAGTGCATGATTATCATGGACGGGATCCTGGGTTCAATCCCCAGTACTTCCATTAAAGAATAAATAAATAAACCTAATTACTTTCCCCCCAACACACACACACACAATGTTAAGGCCCTTGTGATTATCTGAAGTTTCAAAATATGATTCAACACAATGTTTCAGTGAAAGTAGATGTCAAAAGGTCTCCCTTCCCTTGACATACATATTGCCAATATCAGCCTCAGAAATGAATGATTCATAAACAGGAAAACAGTTCTAATTTCAGTATATGTGTATTTTAGTATATGTGTATTTTAGCTTAATCGCTTTGCCACTGACAATGTAATTTCTCTAATCCATAATATTGGGACTCCTCCCAAAATTTAAAGTCCCATGTGTACATATTGTTGGCTGAGTTTTTAAGGTTTTTATCCCCACGATTTTCTTTGAGGAAGAGAGCACACCTGTAGTATTATCACTTTATAAAAAGGGAAACGGTGGCTTAGCATGGTGTTACTGACCACTATGCCTCAGTTTACCAGACAGGCAAGAACAGAACTGGGACTGGAACAATGTGGATTTACCGATGTCCTGGCAAACCACAAAAGTAAGGGCTTGTGGTCACTTCCTATAAGTAAGATAAGCTCTTTTAGGAAGCGGGAAACCCCTTAGGTCTCATTTCAAGGTAGAAAGCAAATGCAGAGGACCTGGTCCAGGAGGCATCTTACCCCTACTTATCCCCTCTGAATAGGAGGCCACCTCTGTGCCGGGGAGCAGGTGCTAAGTCATTTCCAGGCATTCAAACCAGGTTGGGGCTAAAAGGGGCTTTATGTGCTGAGAGGCTGCCTGGTAGCTCGTCCTGCATTTTTCCCATTGTTTCAGGAGGAGCTCCCCTCCCCCCAGGTTAGAGCTAGGTGGGCCTCTGTAGGCCTCTGCTGGCTCACATCTCCCCAAACCCAACTGTCCTTAAGAGTTATGTGTTGACAGAGGACAATGGAGGAAGAAGCGTAGAGAAGAGGGTAGTAAATGGGAGATGGCTCCGTAAATAAGCATAAACACTGTAAATTAAGTGTGGGCCGGGTGATCTGTGGAGTAACTCGCATTCAGCTATTATTCTGGGGGAGAAGAGGCGGGGAGTAAAGGGGCTTAGTGTTCCGCAGAGAAGAGTCCTGAAATGACTTCCTTGGAAATTCTACCTCGCAGCCTCCCACCCTGAGAAACTTCTTTTGTGAGGGGGGATGGGGAATACAGTGGGAGAGGGGGGACAAATTTTGGGGTGTTTGGGGGGGTTTTATGTATGGATGAGCAGTAGATGTTCAGGGATCCCCCTCCTGCTCTGACTCGCAGACCTCTGAGATCAGACCACCCTTTCTGGAGTCCATGTTTTCCAGCCTCAGCGGAACCTTTATCCAAAGGAAAATAAGAGAAGCCTATCGCTTTGCTCTATTGAGCAAGGCTGAGTTTCCTACTGTGCCCCCTTGAGCTTGCTGGGGCGGGGGTGGGGGCAGGCCTGGGCAAAGACATCTGGAGATGGGGGGAGCTGGCAGAGGGCAAGGAAAGGTGGACCCCCACCGTGTCCCACAGCACCTGTCACTGAGCCTCCGGAAACCCTCCTGGCCTCTGGGCTCCCGCCCCCACACATCTTTCTCCCGCTCCCCCTCCCTCCCTCCCTCCTCCTCCTCCTCCTCCTCCAGCTCCCGCCTCCCTCCCCAGCAGCTCCTCCCCACAGACTCCCCTCCCGAGCTGCTCCTCCCCCATCTCCCCTCTCCCAGCTTTCTCGCTCCAGCTCCTCCCCTCCTCCGCGCCTCCTCGATCCCCTCCCCCTCCTCCGCGGCTCCCTGCCCCGCCGCCGCCGATCTCCATCTCTGCAGTCTGGGCCGCTGGGCGCAGAGGCTGCCGCAGCCCCGGCCGCCACTGCCGCCTCCCCCAATCCAGATTCCCATTGTCTCCCACTCCCCCTGGCCTTCCACCTCCCGCACAACCATGGCGCACGAAGCCGGGAGGAACTCTCGTCTTGGGGGGCCCTGCGGGGAGCCGGCGGAGCTTGGAGGTGCGGTAGGGCCCAGCCCGGGCAGGGGTGGGGGTGGGGGCGGAGGGGACGCGCGGGGGGGTAAGGACTTTTCGGTGGACGAGATGAAATGCACGATTCTCTACATAGGACCGGCTCCTCACACCCAGTCGTTGGGCCCGCCTTTGGCCTGGGGCGGGGTGGGGTGGGGTGGGGGGGGTGGAGGGAGAAGGGAGTCGCTTGTGCATGCCCGCGCCCCCTCCCTCCCCCTGTCTCCTCTTCCTCCCTGCTCCCTGGCACAGGGTGCCGGGGTGTCTCCTGGCCAGGCGGGTCAGCACTGAGCTGTAGCCTTCTGCACCGCCTGATGGTGAGCTCATCTCCCCACCCCCAACTAGCGGTTACTGGGCTCGTTGTTAATTAGAGCCTCTGTATACCCACCCCAACCGCACTACCCACGCTCTCTCCTTGTCTTCTCCCCAGGTGATGCTAGCGAGGAGGACCACCCCCAAGTCTGTGCCAAGTGCTGCGCACAATTCACTGACCCAACTGAATTCTTCGCCCACCAGAACGCATGTTCTACTGAGCCCCCTGTTATGGTGATAATTGGGGGCCAGGAGAACCCCAACAACTCCTCGGCATCTTCTGAACCCCGGCCTGAGGGCCACAATAGTCCCCAGGTCATGGAGGCAGAACACAGCAACCCCTCGGATTCCGGGGCCTCTGTACCCACAGATCCCACCTGGGGCCCAGAGCGGAGGGGAGAGGAGTCTTCTGGGCACTTCCTTGTCGCTGCCACAGGTACAGCAGCTGGGGGAGGTGGGGGCCTGATCTTGGCCAGCCCTAAGCTGGGAGCAACCCCGTTACCTCCAGAATCCACCCCTGCACCCCCTCCTCCTCCACCTCCTCCTCCTCCGCCCCCAGGTGTAGGCAGTGGCCACTTGAACATCCCTCTGATCTTGGAAGAGCTCCGGGTGCTGCAGCAGCGGCAGATCCATCAGATGCAGATGACTGAGCAAATCTGCCGGCAGGTGCTGCTGCTTGGCTCCTTAGGCCAGACGGTGGGCACCCCTTCCAGCCCCTCAGAGCTACCTGGGACAGGGGCTGCCTCCTCCACTAAGCCCCTGCTTCCCCTCTTCAGCCCCATCAAGCCTGTCCAGACTGGCAAGACACTGGCACCTTCCTCTACCTCTGCCTCCTCAGGGGCAGAAACACCCAAGCAGGCTTTCTTCCACCTTTACCATCCACTGGGGTCACAGCACCCTTTTTCTGCTGGAGGGGCTGGGCGAAGCCACAAACCCACCCCAGCCCCCTCCCCGGCCCTGCCAGGCAGCACAGACCAGCTGATTGCCTCGCCTCACCTGGCATTCCCAGGCACCACAGGACTGCTAGCCGCACAGTGTCTGGGGGCAGCCCGGGGCCTCGAGGCTGCTGCCTCCCCAGGGCTCCTGAAGCCAAAGAATGGAAGTGGTGAGCTGGGCTATGGGGAAGTGATGGGTCCCTTGGAGAAGCCTGGCGGACGGCACAAGTGCCGCTTCTGTGCCAAAGTATTTGGCAGTGACAGCGCCCTGCAGATCCACCTGCGTTCTCACACAGGTGAGAGGCCCTATAAGTGTAACGTCTGCGGCAACCGCTTTACCACGCGCGGCAACCTCAAAGTTCATTTCCACCGGCATCGTGAGAAGTATCCCCATGTGCAGATGAACCCTCACCCGGTGCCAGAGCACCTAGACTACGTCATCACCAGTAGCGGCCTGCCCTACGGTATGTCCGTGCCGCCAGAGAAGGCCGAGGAGGAGGGGGCCATGCCAGGCGGTGGGGTGGAACGCAAGCCTCTGGTGGCCTCCACCACGGCTCTCAGTGCCACGGAGAGCCTGACGCTGCTCTCCACCGGTGCGGGCACGGCCACGGCTCCTGCGCTCCCTGCTTTCAATAAGTTCGTGCTCATGAAAGCGGTAGAGCCAAAGAGTAAAGCTGATGAGAACACCCCACCTGGGAGTGAGGGCTCGGCCATCACTGGGGTGGCAGAAAGTGGCCCAGCCACCCGCATGCAGCTAAGTAAGCTGGTGACTTCGCTTCCCAGCTGGGCACTGCTTACCAACCACTTCAAGTCCACCGGTAGCTTCCCCTTCCCTTATGTGTTGGAGCCCTTGGGGGCCTCCCCGTCTGAGACATCGAAGCTGCAGCAACTAGTAGAAAAGATTGACCGTCAAGGAGCCGTGGCAGTGGCCTCTACGGCCTCTGGAGCCCCCGCCACCTCTGCCCCTGCAACTTCGTCCTCCGCCTCATCTGGACCTAACCAGTGTGTCATTTGCCTCCGGGTGCTGAGCTGTCCCAGAGCGCTGCGCCTGCATTATGGCCAACATGGAGGGGAGCGGCCCTTCAAATGCAAAGTGTGTGGCAGAGCTTTCTCTACCCGGGGCAATCTGCGTGCGCATTTTGTGGGCCACAAGGCCAGTCCAGCTGCCCGGGCCCAAAACTCCTGTCCTATCTGCCAGAAGAAGTTCACCAATGCTGTCACTCTGCAGCAGCACGTTCGGATGCACCTGGGGGGCCAGATCCCCAACGGTGGGACTGTGCTCCCTGAAGGCGGGGGAGCTGCCCAGGAGAATGGCTCTGAGCAATCTGCGGTCTCCGGGGCAGGGAGCTTCCCCCAGCAGCCGTCCCAGCAACCATCCCCAGAAGAGGAGCTATCCGAAGAGGAGGAAGAGGATGAAGAAGAAGAGGAAGACGTGACTGATGAAGATTCCCTGGCAGGGAGAGGCTCTGAGAGTGGAGGTGAGAAGGCAATATCAGTGCGAGGTGATTCAGAAGAGGCCTCTGGGGCAGAAGACGAAGTGGGGACCGTGGCAGCAGCGGCCACAGCTGGGAAGGAGATGGACAGCAATGAGAAAGCGATTCACCAGCCTTCTCTGCCGCCACCGCCACTGCCACCACCCGACAGCCTGGATCAAACCCAGCCAATGGAGCAGGGAGGCAGTGATGTTGCAGGAGGTGCAGAGGAGGGGGGCAAACCGGAGAGGAGCTCCAGCCCAGCGTCAGCTCTGGTCCTAGAAGGGGAAGGCAGCAGTACCACCTTGGTGGATGAGCTGAGCATGCAGGAAGCGATGAGAAAGGAGCCAGGAGAGAGCAGCAGCAGGAAGGCCTGTGAGGTGTGTGGCCAGATCTTCCCCACCCAGGCAGGTCTGGAGGAGCATCAGAAAGCCCACCCCAAGGAGGGGCCGCTCTTCACTTGTGTTTTCTGCAGGCAGGGCTTCCTCGAGCGGGCTACCCTCAAGAAGCATATGCTGCTGGCTCACCACCAGGTACCGCCCTTTGCCTCCCACGGCCCTCAGAATATTGCTGCTCTCTCCTTGGTTCCAGGCTGTTCACCCTCCATCACTTCCCCAGGGCTTCCGCCCTTTCCCCGGAAGGATGACCCCACAATCCCATGAGCCTGGTTTTTGGTACCTGCTGCCCCTAGACCCAGAGGGCAGAAACTTAGAGTTCTGTTGAAGGACCTCCGAGAGCTATGCGCCCTTATTTGTCTGTTTTTGCTGAGTTCTTATGTACTATGTCCCTAGTGGCTTTTCTCTAAATCCTGAGCTTTGGAATCATTATGTTCACAGGGGGATGGCCCCCTGAGAAATTTTTCTTCCCTTCTCATTCGTTGTACCTGAGGAAAATAGATTCTCTACAGTTTTCACATTCCCAACAAGAACCCTATCCAGCCTCCTTGGGGATGACCCGTCTACCCTCTCCTCCCTCTCCCTTTCCCTTTGGCAGGTGTACTGATCACCCACATTCGGAATTACAGCCCAGCCCAAAGGGGCCGGCAGCTGTCCCTGGAGGGCCTAGTGCCACTCCTCTCTGGCGACCAGGTCAACTTGCAGGACTTCTTGTCCCAGGGAATTCCTGCCCAGCTGGTGAGGGTGGGCCCCCTGTCTTTCTGGAACCAGGACACAGCTTTCCTGTCAAGTGACCTACCCACCAAGCCCTAGACTTCCAGCTCCAGCTCCAGCTCCACTACCACTTCAGGCCCTGCACCACCAGTGCTGTTGGGCCTGGGAACTGTGGCTGGGAAGTTGCCTCCAGCAATGGGATCCAGAGAAGCCCAGGAGAAGAGAGCCCCTCCTTCCCTTTTTTGTCTCTTGCATCCAAGACAGTGCCTGAGAAGCCCATCATAGAAGAAAAGTAACAAATTGTACATTCCGCCCCCTTCCCCCTGCTCCAGAAGGTGCCAACAATGAAGATGTAACAATTTCTGTATCTGGTGGCTCAGTCTCAGGGAGGAGGGAGAAACGAAGGGCATAGGACACTCTTCCCAGTAGCAGGGCACTAATGTGCCTTAGTCACGTTAAGGCAAAATTGGCTGATTGATGTGCTGAGACATTTCCAGCCTCTCATATCCTTCATCTTTGCCTCTCAAAGTTAGGGAGCAAGTGGATTTCTTGCCAAGGGGTCTCCCATGGGATATTTTTGAGAAGGAAATGTGAAGTTCGTATCTTTAACAAGCACTGTTGATGAGGGAGGGCAGTTGAAGGAATAATGGAGTTGAAGAGTGTTGCCAAAGCAGAGGGCTGGCTGAGAACCTATGTGCTTAAGGAAGGGGCATGCTGTAAGGGAGGGGGCCTCAAGTTCTTGATTGGGTCTCACGAATGTTCTTTTAGACTAATGATGATTTAGTGTGCAACAGTGCACCATGGGTCATGGGGGATTTCCTAGCACTAGTGTGCTCTAGTTTTAGATAACTCCTTCCTTTATTCCCTGGCCCCTTGTATCTTCCTCATCTTACTCTCTCAAGGTCCATTTCCTCCCCATTTTGCCTGACCATGGGCGGGGTCGCATGTCTTTGCCACTGTCTGGTTCTTAAGAGTCCCAGACTTTGGGAGATGAGCTCCCGGCACTCTCCTCCCTGCCTCTCTGACTTGTAATGAGATGTAGTATTTACTCTTAACATAGGATCATTTGGTACAGGAGTTCTGAGGAGAGGGTGAGGGTTCTGCGATTGACTGACTTGAGGGATGACTTCTCCAAAGGTGTAGGCTCCAGAGTTTCCTAACATAGTAAAATGTGAAGAGCAGACGAGGGAGATGGTAGTGTCTTTCCCTTTTCATTAAAGGTGTTTTAACTAAATATTTGTGTGTTTCTCCTTTTTTCGTGACTAAATAGCCAGCTGGCGTGTGATACGGGCATTCCCTAACATTGCGATTCCCTTCCCACTTAAATCTCCTGCCAAAGCTGAGCATATGGTGCTGAAATATTTAATTCACTCAGCCTTGTCCTAAAACAGCCTCCAGTGAATGTAATTTTTCTGTAGAAATGGTATTTATGTTCTCAGAAGGTAGGGGAGTTAACTGTGTACAGCCATTGTCTAGGTTTTCTTTTTGCCTAGAACCTTCCATCACTAGGCTTTTGTGTTTTGGTTTTTGTTTTGTTTGGAGGTTGGAAGCTGTTTATCAGTCTTTGCTGAACCCCAGGACCAGCCTAGCTGATATCAGTTAATCTCTAGAATTAAGATGAATATCTTTACGATCCTTTATCTCATGTTATAAATAGGAGAAAAAAGTAATTCAACCCTAATAATTTCTACCAACAAGAGCATATATTCAAAACAAAAAGATCATAAAAGGAAAGGAAGTACATTGGGGGGGAGCATGAAATGAAGTGTATATATATATATATTTTTTTTTTTAAATTCTGTCTCTCTACAACCTAGTAAGATTTAGATTTGACTCTAAAACCTTGCTTTTCTAAAGAGAACATTCTCCAGATTTTTTTTTTTTTTTGCATTTGTAAGATTTAATTACTGAAACCAGGTGCTAAAGGGATGGGACTGGTAAAATGATTTGCCTATGGTCCTTCAGCCAATCAGTGGCAGAGCTGGATTAAGAGCCCAAGGTGGCAGTATCCCAGTCTCAGTGCTACCACCAGTGGTCAGGGATGGTGCTTGCTTCCTGAGTGAGGCTGGTGGAAGAAAGAAGGGGAGAGGTGAATAAACCTATTACTTGGCTCCATTCAAGGTAAAGAACAGAGGTCTGCCTCTAGTTGCCCCCACCAGAGCAGTTCGAATCCCCTTTAAAGGTACTAGTGACTAGGAACACATGGGAATGTTGTGAAGTCAGCTGGGGAAGAAACAGCTCCTGTTTCTAGTTTCTACCAAAGCTTTAGAAATCTGTTTCTCCTTTCAGCCTATGGATGGAGGTGGGTCACCAGTCCTTCTATTCCCTTTACCTTCCTTACCCCCATTGGACATAGATAATGCCATTTAACTAATTAAACTAGACTTGCCCTCTCTCTAGATGCCAGTTCCCATTACGGTAACAGCTGTCAGTGAGGCTTCTACTGATGGATACTTCCTTAGGCAGGTCAGCACTGAGCCTTCATCCCCAGCCCCTCCTCCATAAGTCTGCTTTATTTTCCCTTCTGGCTCCTTTTCATTCTTCTTTTTCCTCCTACTTTTTCTTCTTTCATGGACCTCTCTTGTCTGACAGCTTTTACTTTTCTCTTTCACCTTTAATTTAGTCTTCTTAGAGCCTTTAGTTTCTTCCTTCTTGCAGCCCCCCTCCCAACCCCACCCTCAGCCCTACCATTTCTTACTCTCAATCACTTTTCATTTGATCATTCTGGAAGGTGGATTAACTCTAACCTGCTAGAATGAATATGTAACTAAGTGGAGCTTGCAAAACATTATATGAAATATACACAGTGGCTCCAGTTCAAACTAGATGGATAAAAAGCATCACTATTAAAAAGAAGCAAGAACAACTAAAAAAAAAAAAAAAGAAGAAGAAGCAGCAAGAGATGGCTTGGTTCATTCGTTTAGTTAATTTTCGAGGATTTATTTTGTTTCAAAGACCAAGTGTTGGATAGGTACAAAAGTAAACAAGACATAGTTCTGCCCTAAGAGAGCTCAGTCAAGGAAGAGGAAAAAATGCACACATCTTTTTATACGGTGGCAGTAAATACTGTGATAGACACAAACAGTGGCCTGTGGGATTCCAGAAAGGGAAATGACCAACTTATCATACAAAGATGAAGAAGGGGAAGGGAACATGCAGTGCTCTTAAATTCAGCTTTCATAATCATGCTCAAATATATTAACTGAATCCATATGACTGCCTAAGGACCTATGCAGTTACCATTTAAAAACCTATATAAGATACATCAAAAGCCCTCTGGCAGATACAGAGATGTACCACTTCAGAGATGTCCCTTCAAGAAAGAATTGGCTACTTAGCTGCAAGAAACTTTGTTAGTGGACAGCCTCCAGCTGTCCCACTCATCTCCAGACCCTGGCCAAAGACGGAGCAAGGTGATGTGTATACAGGGCTTAGCCATTCCCAGGGAACATGGAACTCTAATGAACAGTTCTTCCTATGGAACTCCCCACTGGTCTGGCAGAGACTGTCACATCTGCATCATGGACAGCTTTGGACAGCTCTCCCTGCCCAATCCCACCTCCATTTCTTTCCAGTAATATTTTTGGACTCTTGTCTTTGTCTCAGCATCTGCTTTACCCAAATTTCAACCTATGTCACCCCTAAAAAAGGTTTCAATTCTATTGACACATTATTATTTCACAAATACCTGCTCCTGGGACTCTGGAACTTCTTAGTAAACCAAGGAACATCTGTCTCCAGATCCCCAAAACAGACTTCACTTAGATATGTATTACTCTCAATTAGACCCAACTTTGACTTTCCTTTACATTTCCTCATCTTCTCTAATGTTTAATAATAGATTGACTAATCCCAGTGAAACTTTTGCTTTTGATCACATAATTTAAAAAACTGAGTAAGAATAAAACTGAAGGAAAAGACCAATGGGCCAAAGAGCCATTAAGTTGTGCAGTATTTGGTCAGTATTGTGGATGTTTCAGTTATCCATTGCTGTGTAACAAACAATCCAAAATTTACTGTCTTAAACTATATGCATTTGCTTGTGATTCCATAGGTTGTCTAAACAGGCCTCAGCTAGGATGGTTTGTCTGTGTTCCATGCTGTGAAGGCTGAGCTCACTCAGCAGCTTTGATTTGAGCTGGAGGATCCAGGATGGCCCCACTCTCTTCTGGCCTCTTGGGTGAAAGGTTGGAATGTTGGAGCCTTTCTCCTAATAGACTTTCATTCTCCAGGGCCTCCTTTTGACATCTTCAATCTCTAGGACCTTTCTCTCTCTCTCTCTCTCTCTCTCTCTCTCTCTCTCTCTCTCTCTCTCCTTCACCAACCCCCACTCTCTTCTCTCTTTTTTCTCCCTCTCCTTTTCCCTCTCCCTTTCCTCATTTGCTCTCTCTTCAAGTGGTCTAGCTATTAGGATAACTGGACTTCACAAAGACCCAAGTCCCCAAGAAGACAAAAGCAGACAGCAAGGGCTCTTAAGGCCTAGGCTCTGAAACTCAAAGATTATCACTTCTGCCACATTCTGTTGGCCAAAGCTAGTCAGAAGGCCAGCTCAGCTTCAAGAGGAAGGGAAATAAGCTCTACCTCTTAATGAGAAGAGTGGCAAAGTTATACTGCATAAAGACGTGTGGAATGGGAGCAATTATTGTTGTGGCTAACCCTGGAAACAGCCTACCGCAGCAGATAGGAGGAAAGGTCAAGAAATGTAGTGTGTGCAGCACTCATCTACTCACAACTAGGCTTATACTCTTGAGTAGAAGAGGTCTGGGTAAGATTCCTTCCTCCTCTCTGCACTGCTCAGGGTTGTTGCGTGCAGACTGGCTAAGCGTGGGCAGACAAGGAAGTGGTAGTTTTCTTTTGAGCTGAAAACTGGTCTTGAGGAGTCTAAAAAACTCCCTCTATAAGCAAATCATGCCAAGTGGCCCTCCTGTGTTCCTGAAATTTGCCCAATTTACTACTGTAATAATTTATCCAAAGTGAGTGTGAAAGCAAAGACTTCTGGGAGCTGCCCTTGGTTTGGCTGACTTTCAGGAGTACCTGTCTTTCTTCTTTGGCTTCCTCTGTGGGTGAGAGGCAGCAATCCAGGCTTTAGGGATCTCAAATTCTACCAGAGAATGAATCTCTTCCACTAGAGAATCCTTCTTTTCCTAGACAAAAATGCTTATAAGTTTAGGAGTTGACCTGCAGAACTGTGTCTTTAAAATGAATCAGCTCCCTTCATCTTCTGTGAAGCTGTATCCATTACTATCTTTCTCCCCCAAGGCTATTTAATTTTACTGCTATATAATTTCTATATATTTAATTTCTATTTTTTAAGGACCTTGAAAGTAACAGTGATTTTATAGCAGGTGAGGGATTCAGATTTGTGGACAGTTCTATAACTGGGATTATCCTACTTCAGTTAATAATACATGAGTCTAAACATAGAGCCACATGGGATAGATCCCAAATGAAAGTGCAAAAGCATCTCTTGAGGGTAGTTGCTAGAGCCAGGTTATTAAAGGAAGCAAAACCCCTTAGGTAGAGCAGTCTCTTGAAGGATCTTCCATGATCTCACATCAGCCAACTTTGCCAAGAGTATTTCTGCTCAGAAAGATAGCTTTTTATTTCTAATTAAGTATAATCCTGAGATTTAAATGTCCAGAGATGCTCATACGAACTCATATTCATTTCTGTGTCCTCTACTTTAACACTCATATATAAAGGTACACATCTCAAAAGAGTGTAAATTACCTATTTGGTAAATCAAATACAGAAAATGAGGTGGAAATTAGTATTTTTATCACTATTAAGTCTCCACAGTACATAGCACATAGTAGTCACTCAGTAAATATTTGCTGCATAAATGAATGGAACTGTCATATTCCAATACACAATTTTCTTTTCAGTAGCACCCCTTCATATTCACCCCTTCCTTTCTGTCACTATCCATAGACAGCTTCTGAGTTAAAGGTGCTGTCATCAAACACTTAGTTACAATATGCTGCTAACCATTTTCCCTTTCTCTAAACTTTTGTTCCCAATCTCAACAGGAACACAAGATTAATCTTAAAACCTTCCCTATTCACAAACCCTAAAATGTTACCTGTTGTTCTATTCTGAACAAATTACAAGCTCTTTACTCAGGTAACACGTACCTTTTGCAATCTGGCCTCAATTTTGGAAGCATAAATATCCTCCCAAATCCCCAACTATAATTTTCTATGTTCTAGTGAAATTAATCTGGATCAGTA